GGATAAAACAGGGAAGGGTTAACACACCCCTGTTGTGTTTGTTTTGCTATCTGTGCCCCTGTTCAAAAGATTTCACCTTCCTTTCTGTCCCTGCAATACTTGGACTTTGAGAAATTTGGCTTGTTGTGGAAACAAGTTTTGGTGATAAAGGTTCAGTGGAGACACCTTTCCCCCACAATAACTCTTTCAGGAGTGGATTCCCTTCCTAGGGATAGATTTCTCTCACTTCCTGTTGTCTCACTCACAATCTTAACAATGAGTCGTTGGATGTTTATAACTCGGGGACTGCCTGTAGTTTGCTTTTGGACATGCTATGGGCAGTTTTCCTATTTTCATTTAAAGCAAGGTGTGCTTGGTGGCTGACCCTTAAAGACTTGTTCTCTTAAAGGCAACTGAAATGTTATGAGGAATGTTAAAGAAATAGTATTTCTCCAGATCAACTGAAAGTGAACAGTTGTTAAGAATGGATAATGATTCTCCATGGCAATACTGAGTACTATAGCTGGTGAAATGCCTAGTTCCAGATAGTTCAGAGGGCAACTTCTTGATACTAAGTGGAGTGTCTTCAAAGGCTGCCCGATATGAAGCACATTAAAGAATTCTCACCTAAGCCATAAGCATTGATCATCCACTGAGCACTTGAGTGGTGAGATGACTTTATTTACAAAGCCATATCAAAGGTACCTGCAGGTATCCAGAGAAAAAACGGATATAAATTGATTAAAAGTACAGTGTTGTTTTATTGTAATGTAAACTGGATTGAAAGACAAGGAGATGCCTATCCTTTTTTTATGCTGAGGCAAACCTAACGTGAGATTTTCCTGGTAAAAATTGTTCACTACTTCGCGGTTCGCTTTTCGCAGACTCGCTGTTTCAAGGGGTTTTTGCATCCCAGTTTATTAATGGTTGCCGTTGTCCAGACCAGCATTCTAATCCCACCTCCTGACAACGATGGAACGTGGAAGGGGGTTTCACCCTCCCCCTCGGGAGAGAGGGAGCCAATCAAGAGAGATTGCAAAGCAAACCAGAGATAGCTAGCGAAAAAAAGATGTGCAGTGCCTTTAAATCTCTCCTCACTTCTGCCTCACCCTCAGAATGCGATATACATATATAGCGTCCCTACTTTGCAGATTTTCACTTTTTGCGGGTGGTCCGCAATAACTGAGGGAACACTGTATCCCAGAATATCAAAGCAGAAAATCCCACAATATCTGCTTTGAACTGAGTTATCTGAGTCCACACTCGGGTAATGTGGGATTTTCTGACTTGATAATTCTGGGATATAAGGCTGCGTGGAAGGGCCCGGAGTTACCCAGTGGCCCACGTCATACCACTAAGCCACACTGGTTCAACTGAAAGTAGATGGCAGGAGAGGAAATGTGTTGAATGTTCCTCCTTCACCCATTCTTCTGAGCCAACAAGGAGCCCATGTGGGTTTTGGATATTTATAGTGCTTTGACTTAACAGATAGGATTGCTATGCCTGAGTGCCTATGGGTTTCCTCTGTAACCATCTCTTGAGATCTTCCAGGGATCTGAACCCCGGTTTCCCAGGGTTCTAATCCAAGACTCAAACCACTATACTATGCTCACTCTGATCTGGCACCTACTCTAGAAGATCTCAAGAGATGGTTACAGAGGTCATTGCATTAGACAAAATACTACTTCAAGGGTCCATCTTCCAAAAGTGGTAGCCATTTGATTGTTTCAGAAAATAATGTACAACGAACATACTAATGACATGAAGATAATTGTAGCTTTCAAAAAAACCTGTTGGGTCAAAAAGGAGTAAGGGAGAGAGTACTATTGGTACCCAATTCCAAACAAAACCATTCAAATTATTTAAGAGTCTGAGGCAGAAAGCCCTCTAGCTGAAGATTAAACAGATGAAACACATAATGAGACACGTGCTCTCCTTGCGCTGCATCCCAGTATTTCAAAAGCTGAGACAAGTGCACACTCAGAAACTCTTTAATGTTTCTAATGTGTTCTTAATTGGCACCACTCTCACAGGTCTAAATAACAGGCACAAATATTTGACAGTTGAAATACGGCACTTTATTATTATTTTCCTTACACCCAGCTTCAGCTATGGGAACCTCAGGCCGTCACCATAGGACTGCACATATCAGGTAGGTCTGATTCGCTTAGTTTGGTCTTCTTCCCCTTTGAACTTCTTGGTTGCTTTCCTTTGGGAGTTTTTTTCTTCATAAGACTTGCCATTGCCTTTCTTTTTCTTCTCCTCCTCCTCCTCCTCTTCCTCTTCTTCTTCTTCCTCCTTCTCACTACTTTCAGCATCATCTCACTGATGGCATAGGAACCTGTCAGTCCATGGCCGGTCAATTTCCTCAATAAGCCCCTGGCCACCAGGGCCCTCAAGACCCTTTTGAAGTAGTTCTTTTTCTTCTCAAGGTCATAGCCTGTGGCAACAACACTCTTCTTCAAAGCCTGCAGAGATACCCCACTGCGCTTCTCAGTGGAAGCCACCACCTGGAAAATAAGTTTGGAGATGCCACGTTTGGGCAGAATATATTTCCAGGGGAAATGAGGTTTACATGCCTCTGGACCTTTGGATCTTGATTTGGAGTTGGGTTTTAACTGTAGGCCAGAACAAGATGGCCCAGATTCATCAAAGTCCACATTTTCCTGACGCTTCCCTGGGGCAAAGGAGTAGACCGGATCAGAATTCCCATCTGTTTCAGAATTCACTTCATCTGAGCATTCTGTACCTTCCAAGGAGAAATCCAGTGGAGTTTCACTTACAGTATCCATTACTCTTGAAACCTGACTTGGGTTGCTACTTCATCACCATGTTCCTTGTTTCAACTGCTTGCTTAGCTTATCTCCTTTCCTTCTTTGAAGTCCCCAAATACATTTGAGTTTGAGGCCTTTGAGTGAGATGTTTGTCCTGGGAGATCCAAGTCTGTGTGCCTCAAACAGCAAGGAAGATGTTAGATGAGATTCCTGTGCAAGGCAGTTATGAATAGGTCACCCACCTTTGTTACAAGTTATGATGTGGGTTGAACTAAATGGTTGCCATGAGAACACCTTGGTGAATTGTGGAGTCACAGTCACTCTGTAATCCCTTTGTGAGTGTGTATGCAAATACTGTGTACATCTGCATAGCCATATCCTTGTGGATAGCCTTGTCCAGAGCATTCAAAATATATTTTAAATCATCATTCCAAGAACCTTCCAGTTAGAATGCTTAAACAGAAAATGGATTTCCTGAATCACAAAGACACAAAACCACTACAAGCAGTAGTACAGCAATCACAGTAATTATGGTTTTTTACAACTTATATGCTACAATAATGGACATACAGTGTTCCCTTCCTGTTTCACGGTTCGCTTTCCACAGACTCGCTGTTTTGCGGTTCGCTTTCCGCGAACTCGCTGTTTTGCGGTTAGGGTTGAGAATTAATATTTTTAATATATTTTTATACATTTTGTGGTTTTAAAAGCACAAAATGTTTTAAAATATATTTAAAATATTGATTCTCAACCCTAACTGCAAAACAGCGAGTCCGCGGAAAGCGAACCGTGGCTTGCAGGAGGCTTCTTCTTTCCAGAAACCCCCTGCGCAGCGGGAAGTTTCCCACCATTTAGCTGACTGGCCAACCGGTGGCAGGCCCCACCCCGTTCCTGGATTGGCCAGGGCCAGCTTCTGAACCTCGCCCCGGCAGCCTTTGGAGGGCTACCGTGGGCCTTCGCAGGGCTCCTTCACAGTGCCCTTACTTCGCAAATTTTCACTTATCATGGGAGGTCCTGGAACTGAACCCCCGCGGTAAGTGAGGGAATACTGTATATACAAAGAACATAAAACTATTGTAAACACAGAGTCTTGTCACAATGATTCCCTTCTGGGGGGCTGTGTAAAGATCATTTAAAAAGTCACAAGTTTATAACCATATCTACTTTAGAGAAGACTTCTCCCTGAGGGCGTGGATTCCTTACTCTCTTGTAAGTAGAAATGTATAAATTCAAAAATCAATGAAAATGAAACTGTTATATGGAGCTTCTGCTTCCTTGAAGAGGATTCCCACGTCGAGGCTTTCCAATTACCAGACCGGTTTTGACTATATTAAGTCTTCCTCAGGTGGAGAAATATGAAAATCACAGAATGCAATGGACATCAAGTTCTCCAAAATTAAATGTTCCTCAGGTGGGAAAAGTATACAATTACAACAGTGAAGTGGACCTACAAGGAATATACAGAGGTGGCTAGAAAACATTCCAAAAGATAAATATTTCCATGTATAATATACGTATGACGCATAAGATATAAAATAATATAAATACTCACATCCAGTTCTACTGAAAAGGTGCTCTGCATTTGTTTGATTCCATAGCAAGCACATTGTTAGCAGGTAGAAGTCAGTGGTTCTTAACCTGTGGGTCCCCAGATATTTTGGCCTTCAACTCCCAGAAATCCTAACAGTTGGTAAACAGGCTGGGATTTCTGGGAGTTGTAGACCAAAACACCTGGGGACCCACAGGTTAAGATCCACTGAGCTACATTAACATCTTTATCTGGCCCTTTAAATGCTCTAATTTATATAGTAGCTTCTACCTGCTAACCATGTGAGAAGACAAACTGTTTACAACAGTTTTATGTTCTTTGTATATATGTCCATTATTGTAGCATCTAAGTTTAGGTGTCCATGCTTGCCAGGTGCTTCTGAGAACTGCAGTATAAAAGAAAACTTTTATAGTTCAGTCACAGAATGAAGTTGACCAATTGGTCATAAGAGTTTGATCAACAGACAGAATCCATACATTCAATAACTTAGATTCATAACATTACATAACAGCAGAGCAGCCTTCTTCAATTTTAGTGTCTTTTCTATGGTTTAGCTTTCAACTCCCGTTGGCCTAGCACACACAGCCATATTAAGTCTTAAAACAAAGTATTAGTGGAAGGCATGAGGAAACGGAATGGATTATAATGTCACATTTTCATAAAACCAAGGATCAGTGGACATAAAAATGCCAACTTACTCTGAGGTCTTCATATCTCTTTTGTCCCTGCAATTAAAAAAAAAACATGGGGTTAGATCCATGGGAACAAATTCTTTTTTCCCTCAGTAGTACATCCAGAGCTATACATAACTGGCAAAGCTATTGTTAGAATTAGTACTTCTAGAATCCACTAACTAGAATGGCCAGTGGTTTCTCCTGGCTACCAGATTATGAGAACTATCATCACTCCAAAATTATTTGTTCCTATATCTGAACTAAGAACCAGATCAAGTCAGTGACTATTCCACTTACTGCAGCAAATATTTACAAAGTTACAGGTCCATTTCACTAGTAAATCAGTATTCTACATTTGCCTTTGCAATTTTTTCATTTATCCAGTGGCATTTGAAAATAAAGAGTTTGTAGGCTGATAGATTTTCCTGGAAGGTGGAGAAAAGGAGATGAGGAAAGCAATCCACCCCCAATGTCACAGAAATGGAAGAGTCCTATCACATTAACAGTAAATGTGGTAAAATGACAGGTGTGAGGGCAGGTCCGTTGCCCTGCACACACCTCCGAAGCAGTGACACTTCCCCTCAAACAGGGCAGAAGAGTACTGGCTCCATTGAAGTCAAGATAACACAGGAAGGCGCCCATGTTTGGGGGAAAGCATCCAAGGACGCTTCCACCTAGGTTGGAGGAGGAGCCACAATGGGAAGTGACACAACACCATGGGGCTCCATCCCCTAAGCATCCTATGACACTTCTTTTCATCAATGTTATGAAGTGGTAAGACAGGCAATGAAAACATTGCAAGACTGAGGGGCGGTTCTACATATAACTTTAACCTGGATTAACACATTATTTCTTGGGTGAGGGCTGTACAGATGCCCTCCCAGAACATTCTGGGAGGACAGGGAGACACTCAAACACCATCCCCAAAACCCTTTAAAAACGGGGGGAAAGTAAAATTATTTATCCAGCTGCCATTAAACTGCTGCCGGAGCTCTCCTGGCACGTGGAAATGATCTACCGGGGGGGGGGGGCAGGAGGAAAATCACTCCTGGATCCCCTTCTCCTGGCACATCATTTCTACATGCCAGGAGAACTCCAGCAGCAGTTTAATGGTGGCCAGGTAAGTTATTTTACTTTTCCTCCCATTTTTAATGAGTTTTGGGAAGAGGTGTGTGAGCCCTCTTGGGTATTCTTGGGTATTTGGGTAAACATGAGAGGGCTGTGTGAATGGCCCCCTCTGAAGTCCCAGTACTTCCAAGGGGGCAGTCCAGACAGCAGCCATAGTAGGCTCGACCCAGGTCTTTCAGGAAGACCTGAGTCTTTCCAGTACCAAATTATTTTGGGACAAAGCAGGGTTTTCCTGCTTTGTTCCTAATGCATTTGTTTTTATGTGGGACGTCCAAATCCTGGAGGGCATGCATTTCAGGGGCTGTCTGGATGTGCCCTGAGAGCTATTGATGGGTTTTATCCATTAATAGCTAGGGATGGGAAAATCATTGGGGGAGGGGAGGCAAACTGGTCATGGTGCTTTTTTAAATTAATTTTGATGTTTTATGTTCACAGTTTATGTTCATTATAATTTTAGATAGATTATGTTTTATTTAAGTTATAATCGTTATGTTTAAGATGTCTTTTATGTGGGATTATTCTAAGTTATTATATTTGTACTTGTTGTCATTGAGGCATTGAACATTTGCCTTTTTGTATGTTGGAATCTGCCCTGAGTCACCCAGGGGAGATAGGGAGGAATATAAATAAAGTTTTATTGTTATTATTATATTATTATTATTCTACATGGTGGCACTCATATGTAACTATCCAAAACACCTGTCTAGCTGCCATGTCAATTTGCCTGCCTCATGTGATAAAGTGATAAAGTCCTAAGTCTACTAGGAGTTGCACTTGTCTGGAGGGCAACACAAGATACCTTTGTGGATCATCCATCTGCTCCCAAAGTTAGCAAGCCATAGAATAATATACAGTGTCCAGGATTTGGGCTGAACTTACACGCCTTCCCGTCTGCAGCACATAATGTAGGCCAGGATGAGAGCGAGGAGAAGCCCCAAAAGGAATGGAAGGAGGAACGTCAGCAAGAAGTCAGAGAAGAATTCCCGGTCGGAGACATTGTCTGGAGGATTGAATTCACTGCCCTCCTCCAGGATCCCATCTCCATAGATAAGCACTGTGATGTTCTTAGTTGTGGGGCCTGTCTGAGGAAAGAAAACAAGGGAAAAATTAAGGGAACAAGTCTTCTCATGCATCCCCTTCCCCAATTTTTCCATCAACTTCTCTCACCAAGGTGAGGTTGCACCAGTCCACTTGGAATCGAGGGCTGAAGCTGTCATAACATGAAATGACGGGCTGCTGCTCCAATTTGCACCGGACAAGGTTGCTAGGGGACTTAGCCTCCATCAAGCATTCTGTGAAAGGATCCTTGGAACCCACCTTGATGTAAACACTGCAGGAAAGGAGGAATGAAGGGAAAAACCAAAAACGAAAATTTGAAGTTTTTCCTCTTGAATCTTGAAAAATCAATGACCAAGGTAAAACATTTTGAAGAAAATGCTTTTTGAACTACAATCTTCATTAATTCTGAGCGCTGTAGACTGAAAAAGTAACTATTCCAACCTGATAGCATTAAACAAACTCGTACTACCACACCTCCATTTCCATGGCAAAGATTCTTTAATATCTTACCCTTCTTTCCTGTTTTCAATTGGCAAAGGGACACGGCCTCCTCGGTCCAAAGCTGAGGTAATGTTGACCACAGTTAAACCTTCTTGTTCCCACATGCTGTCCACAGCTTGCTGGAAAAGTTCCTGGGCATCAATGGGTAGCATTTCTTCCACATCCCAGTTCTTTACCAAAAAATCTGCTTGATATGGCATCTCTCCATCTACATAGAAACAAAGAACAACAGGACATGACAAAATAGAACTCCTTGGGTTTTTTTTTAACTTTTATACTATTTTTAGCTATGCCTTGTTTTAAATTGGACGTAAGACGCAAGATAGGTGGATATATTCCTGCGTATTCCTGAAATAAGACAACTCTATGAAATTTATGGAATTGCATGTTTACACTTTTCAGAACATTAAAGTTGTCCAAAATCAAAAGGGGAGTTAGGGGCAGGAGAGACAAACTGGGACATGTTAAAGGCAGATTAAAAAAAAAACACAGGATGATAGAGGATTAAGAAGAATTGTCAAGATTAAGAAGAATTGCCAAATTGGAATAGTTGGAGAGTCGGACAACAACAACAACAACAACAACAACATTTTATTTATATAGCGCTCTATCTCCCCAAGGGGACTCAGAGCGGTTTCCAAATAACATAATCAATACATCGCCTGATTTAAAACAAATCAGAAAGAATATCCCTACTAAAAGTAATAGAAACTGGAGACATGCAGAGACAAAGAAGGGTTAACATGCAGCATGGTGTGTGCGAAAGGTGAAAAATTTACCTGGAGATGATAAAATATTGATGATCATTGTTTGCCTCACGGTTTCATAGGTATACCTGTTATACGCCATCACCTGGACCAAAGAGGAGTAAAAGACTTTGTGTCAAACAAATAACAGGTTAATTTTCTTAATATATCCCATCATCCATTTCCAGAGATGATAAACACAAAGGTAAAATATTCTCCTCTGTAGACAAAATAACAGCCACTGAAGAAAGATTTACAAGCTGTGGTACCAAAAGCCAAACTCAAAGAACTCTAATCCACTCCTCTTTGAGGATAGCCAAATATTCAGAATCAGAATATTTATGTATTCATGTATTTATTCAAGCTATATTCCATGTAAATTCCATGCTTTGAACTGAAGGTAAAGGTAAATGTTTTCCCCTGACATTAAGTCCAGTCGTGTCCGACTCTGGGGTGTGGCGCTCATCTCCATTTCTAAGCCGAAGAGCCAGCGTTCTCCGTAGACACCTCCAAGGTCATGTGGCCAGCATGACTGCATGGACTGAACCTACTGTCAAAGAGAGAACCAATTTTTACAGCCCTTCAGAGGACAGTACTCCATAAAGTAAGACGTATGAACGTCCTACCAGATATATCCAAGCAAAAATGTGGCTCTGGGATAAACAGTGAAAGCTGCACCTAAACCTAGGCTGAGAACACTCAGGAAATGCCATGAGCAACATTTGCAGTCTTCCTGTCCAGTAGAGAAGTATAAAATGCACATACCTCAATTGTTTCCACACCAACATCATCACTTGTTGCAGACCCATAGAGATACCCCATCTCAAATGGGGTGCGTTGAGTGTATCGCAGCCACCGGGGCAAGTCAGGGTGATGCAGAAGATTGGCATGGAAGGTAATGGGAACATCAGGAGGAAGGTCTGCAAAATGTCAGGCTCAGATCGATTTATTACCACCTTATCACACTGAGAAATTTCCCAGTAGTAGGAGACTTCAGCCTTTTGCAAGCATGGAGAGGCACTGAGCTCATCACATAAGTTAAACTACTTCTAGCTCTCATGCATAGCCTTCCATGGTTGAAATGTGGCAGAAGTGTACTGAAAGAAGGGAACTTCTTCAATCGACCTTATCACATTGAGAAATTTCCCCTCAGCCTCTTTTCTAGCATAGAGAGGCGCGGTGCTCATCACATGTTCCAGGGTTGAAAAGAGGCAGATATGTCCTGAAATAAGGGAACTCTGAACATGGGCCAACAATCATGTTCAGAGCTCCGAACTCTTATCATACTTTACACACATCTTTATAACAGGTGCAATGGGAACCATCACAGTTTCCCGCCCTGTTTCATTGCCCAACAGTCAGTAATGGTTTTAATCTGAATCACTGTCTCTTGTATCTTATGGGCTTTGATGCTGAACCATAGAATCCCATGGAAAGCAAAGGGTTTTAACCCATATCTCTGACATATAGAATGTAGTAGTAGTAATATAGTTTTTTATTCTATAAAAAGTATTTTAACTTTGCTTTTGTTTGTTTGTTTGTACATCAGTATATAGGTTTTGTTTTAATTTGTCTAAATAAAAATTATTTTAAAATTTCCGCATGCATAAGAAATGATTAAGAAGTAAAAGAGAGAGGGGAGATCAGAACAGTAACAATGACAGAATAGCTTAGAATGCCTAACCTTTATCATCCATGGTGGAAGGAAAGGCATCCTTGAAGCCCTCTTGTTCCAGTTCATGGACAAAGATCTCCCCAACCACAGCAGTGAGAGTCAGAACAGGGAGGGTGATAGCCAATCCATGGCTGAAAAGAAGTCCTGTTGGATAAAGCAGTGTGAGATTACTTCCAATATCCTGATTTAACCATATTAAAGAGAATCATAGACTCATAAACCTGGAAGGGAACATAAGTCCTCTACCATGCAGTGATATACTGCAAAGTAGTCTAGACATATTGTCATCTAACCTCTGTTTGTCTATGGCCCTTTTGCTCAAGAGCTGAGATATATATCCACCCAATAATAGTGTTCTCTGACAAGAAAACTTTGTTATTTCTTACTTACTTAGGCAATCCCTCGTAGCCCGAGGATGATGGTCCTCCAATTGTAGAGTCTTGGTGGTGGGTCTCTAGGTGGCTGTGGAAAAATGCGGTGTTGTATTTCAGTGTCAATGTTGTCTTTTGTGGAGAGGTAGTTCCAAGGAAAAGGAAATGGTCAACATTTTATAATGTTAAACCATTAAGCTGTACTTCTGGGATTGCAAAGGGATTGGCTGATGACTGCTAGAAGAGCACTTTTGTTTTCTCAATGTTCAATGAGAGGCTGAGCTTCTCGTATGCTTTTGCAAAGGTGTTTAGAGTGATTTATAGGTCTTATTTTAATTGCGCAGACGACGTTATCATTGGTATACTGGAGTTCTATAACAGATGTTGTTGTGACCTTAGTTTTGACTTTCGGTCTGCTGAGGTTAGATCGCTTGCCATCTGTCCAATATATGATTTCCACTCCAGTGGGAAGCTTCCCATCAACAAGATGAAGTATCATCACAATGAAGATGGAGAATAAGGTTGGGGCAATAACACATCCCTGTTTGATACCTGATTCCACCTTAAATGGGTCACTTTGAAAGCCATTGCTGTCCAAGACTGTTGCCATCATGTAATCGTGGAGGAGCCACAGGATATTCACAAATTTGTCAGGGCAAATTTGGAGGATGGCCCAGAGAGCACTGCAATTCACTGTGCTGGATGTCTTTGCAAGGTCAATGAATGCCATGTACTGAGGCTGATTTTGTTCCCTGCATTTTTCTTGGAGCTGTTGTGCAATGAAGATCATGTCCACTGTTCCTCTGGAGGGGTAGAAGCCGTTCCGGGATTCTGGTAGGGTGTCTTCTGAAACAGGTAGAAGGCAGTTTGCAAGGATACTTGCAAGGATTTTCCCAGCAGAGGTTAGAAGGGAGATACCTCAATTTCTACACTGAGTGGCAGCAACATTCACCGTTACTTGGTTCAGTTGATGCACCCTAAGAGAACTTGGAATCCTGCTGCACACATTCTAGTGTTTCTTTTGTTTTGTTTTCAAAACCTCAGAGCATAACGGACATGTTATTGTTTTTGTCTCTGCATTTTCTCTGTAATTTATTACCTTTTGTTACAACAGCTGTTAGGTATGATCCCTGGTATTTCATGCCAGTGTTATCATGTAGCAAATTGCTTTAGGAGCTAACCTTGGATGAAAAATAAGATATAAATATTTTATCTAAATGTAGAAGTTGGTAAATGAATCCCTTTGTGCTGTCCAGGTAGCAGTGAAAAGCAGAACCCATTTTCCAAATTATACAGAGGCCAGAAAGAACTGGACTTCCGTTTTGTCAGTGTGTGCTTCTTTACTGCCTAGCTTTGCCAATGGAATGATTCATGCTTTCTGTTCTCTGTGTCCTTCTACCTTTGAAAGGCTTTAGCATTAAGACCTTTTCTTACTCTGGCTTGCTATATTTATAGAGAGTATTCTTTTTCAAAATAATTTTCTCCTTAGAGAGTTTTTATTCCTTTGTTGTATCTCCAGAAGGCTTGTGTATTGTGCTGTTATTTGTGATCCAACTTATTTTGACCCAATAAGTGAAAGGAAGAGGGGCTGACCAAGGGCAAGATGGATAGATGGCATCCTTGACGTGACTGACTTGACCTTGAAGGAGCTGGAGGTGGCCACGGCCGACAGGGAGCTCTGGCGTGGGCTGGTCCATGAGGTCATGAAGAGTCAGAAGCAACTGAACGAATAAACAACAACATGGGTGAAAGATCTCAATAAACTCCAGTCATCAACTAACCGGATCCATCTTCAAACCCAGAAATGTGGTCTCTTTGATGGACTCAAACCACTTGTGATGTTGTCTACTTTTCCTACTGGTCTCCACTTTACTGTGCATTATTGCATTTTCCAGTGGATCGTGTTATTCCAGGATATGTCCAAAGTACAGCAGCTTCTGTTTAATCATCTTTCTTTTTAAGGGTGCATCTACACTGTAGAATTAATGCAGTTTGACACTTTAACGTCTATGGCTTAATGCTGTGGAATCATGAGAGGTGTAGTTAAGTGAAGAATCAGAACTCTTTGACAGAGAAGGCTAAAGATCTTGCAGACCTACAATTGTCCTGATTCCACAGCATTTAGCCAAGGGCTGTATGAAGAGGTCCTTATAGTGATACCAAACTGTATTAATTCTACAGCTCTACGAGTGTCACATTTTTCCAAATGAAGCAGAGTGTTTTAGGACAGGGACATCCGTAGGGATACCAATGTGCTTGTTTCTAAAGCTGTTTTCCTCCCAACTCTGTTATATGCCTGTGAATCATGGACTGTCTACAGATGTCACACTCAACTCCTGGAATGATTCCATCAGATTTGCCTTCAAAAATCCTACAAATCTCTTGGGAAGACAGGCAGACAAATGTCAAAGTTCTGGAAGAAGCAAAGACCACCAGCTCCTATGTCATCAACTCCGTTGGACTGGCCATGTTTCCAAATGCCCGATCACAGTCTCCCAAAGAAGTTACTATACTCCAAACTCAAGAACAGAAAATGGAATGTTGGTGGACAGAAAAAAGAGATTTAAAGATAGGCTTTAAGCTAATCTTTAAAACTGTGGCATAGATACCGAGAACTGGGAAGTCCTGGCCCTTGAGCACTCTAACTGGAGGTCAGCTGTGACCAGCAGTGCTGTAGAATTTGAAGAGGCACAAATGGAGGGCGAATGGGAGAAACATGCCAAGTGGAAGGCACATCAAGCCAACCCTTACTGGGACTGCCTTCCACCTGGAAACCAATGCCCTCAATGTGGAAGAACTTGTGGATCAAGAATAGGGCTCCACAGTAATCTGAGGACCCACTGCCAAGACACTATCCTTGGAAGGTACTCAGATGTAATTAAGTAATTCTACAGCTCATATGACTCTTAATAAAGATCAGAGTTTGTTTTAGGACTCATCCATTTGTCCATGGCATCTGAGGAATTCTCCTCCAGCAACACAATTCAATTCAATTCTTTCTTTTCAACTTCCACAATTATATACAGAAAGAAACATATAAAAGCTGGCATTTGTGGCTGCTTTGTTTTTGAAAGAAGGAAAATGTAATCCAACACCATCTGACCAAAATTTTGTCGATTTCCTTTCCCTTCCCACTTTAATTTCTAGCCTATTGTATCAAAGAAGCATCTGTCTCTGCAAATGCCTACGAGAGAAACACTGGAAGGCTGCATGGGCTATTTAAATCTGCTAACTGCATTTTTGTTCCATTTCTCAGAATCCTATCCACATTCTTTTCCTGAATCTCAAAGGTTTTTTTAATGTTTGTGTGCACTTCCCCGAATACATATTTTACTCAATTATATTTGCTTGCATCAAGTGGAAAAGAGAAGGAAACTGGTGTTCTTTTGATGAGCAATGAAAACATTTTCATTAATAGTCTCACAGATCATGAATAGTTTGTGAAAATTCCTTTTCAGTGTTTAGTGTCATATCATAGCATCTCATTATTCACTCACATGTCTTTTCTTTATTATAGACAGTCCTTTTTTTCTCTTTTTAAAAAAAATAATAATATTTATTGAGAATTTTCCTTAAAATCAATAAAAATCCTTAAAAGGAAAGGAATAGAAAGGAAAAAAGAAAGGACAGGGGGAAAAAGAAGAAAAGGGGGGAAAGAAAAAAAATGGAAAATAGAAAAATAGAATATTTTGACTCCTGGGTATCTTCTTTGAGGTTTTCTCCTTTTCCTGCATCCTCTCTCTTTCTTCTCCCACCTTTTTTTCAGTCCTGGCATATAATCTTTTCCTCCTCATAACACTATTTTCTTTTTAAGTATTCTGTGTCCTGGTTCCAATTAGTTTCTTTCCTAGGATTTTCTTTGTTTTGGAAATCAGAAATGTGAGTCTGATCTCCAAATGTGAGTCTATCCATATTTCTTATATCTTGACCTTTTATCATCCAATCTTCCTCTTCCAGTATCTCTTTCCTCTTTCCATAGTCTTGCATAGCATATCCTTACAGCGGTGGTTAGTAGAAATAATCATTTGTCTTTATTTTCATCTATTTTTTGTTCATGTATCCCCAATAGGAAAGTTTCTGGGTTTAATGGTATCTTTGTCTATAATGTTTCTTGAATATTTTTGTATCTTTTTCCTTTTTTTTTTTGCTTTACTGCACGTCCACCACATGTGGAAGTATGATCTTTCTATTTCTCCACACTTCCAGCATTTAATATTTATGTTTTTATAATACTGTATATATTCGAGTATAAGCCTAATTTTTCAGCCGTTTTTATAGGCTGAAAAAGCTCCTCTCGGCTTATACTCGGGTCAATGTTATTTAATATTTTACTCTGTTATTATTGAGATAGGGCCTTCTCGGTGGTGGCTCCTTGGCTGTGGAATGCCCTTCCTACGGACATTAGACTAGCACCATCTCTAATGGTATTCCGCAAAAAGGTGAAGACCTGGATGTTGTGCAGGCGTTTGAGTAATTTAGTACAATCTGGTAATGGAACATAGGAATGGAACAATGGACGACGAATCTGGACTACGCTTGGATGATGAGAAGATTGGGTACGGTTGTTTTTTGTAATAATTGTGCATTGTAATTGCTTATTGGTAATTTATGGATAATGTGTTAAGTCAATTGTTATATGTTGTATGGAACCACTGCTGTTTCTACTGTTTCTACTGTTTGTGAACCGCTGTGAGTCGCCTTCGGGCTTGAGATACAGCGGTATATAAGCAAAGTAAATAAATAAATAAATAAATAAATATTATTTTACTCTATTATTATTATTGCATTTATTATTTTACTCAATTATTATTACATTATTTTACTTTATTATTGTTATTATTACATGTATTATTTGACTATTTATTATTGTTATTATTACATTTATTATTTTACTCTATTATTACTGTTATTATTACATTTCCATTATTTTACTCTATTATTATTATTATTATTATTATTATTATTATTATTACATTATGTTACTCTCTTTATTCTTATTGGAAGGATACATAAGCACATTTAAGTTGAAGAAGGTTAGAATCAGAGTTGGACAGTCTTATCTTAAATTACAGTGTTATGTAAATATTCAAAAACATTTAACCTTCTGATGCCT